TGGAAGGAATGCCCAAGCAACCAGTCAAATCAAGTTAAGCCAAGGCCACAACCAACTTCTGGCCTAACCCAACAACTAAAGGAAACAACACAGTGACCGCTGATGTGTCTTGAGAAAGAGGAGCGAGAATTGAGGAGGGAAACTGAAAGCTTAGAAATTGCCAGTGCTTAAGGAAGACTCTGCATAAGCTGAGGGTATTGTGTGAGACAGGGGCAGAAAAGAAAAGGCAAATAAGAGATTACTAATAGCTCTGAGCATACACAACTTGCAGGTGTGTCCTGCCGGCTGCTGTGTTTCCGTTACACTGGGGCTCCTCTGTGGCACAGATTATGTCCCTGCTCGAGGCAGTGGATCCCAGATGGTTCCGGTGCTGGCCCGTGAGGCCCCTGAATCTAGGCCATCTGCTGCCCACACAGGAGGAAAATCTTCAGGGTGTTGATTTGTCAGACTGAAGATATTAACAAACAAACAAGCTCTATTCTGACTTCCGATGCTGCTAATTTTCCTAAACCAACATGTGACTGGGTTGCCCGAGCAGGACAGAGAATATTCAAGACCACGTTACCTAAGTTGGAGTCAAAAGACTGACGTTTCCTTCCAACTGCGGTGTTCAGTCTCCTGCCCAGCATCTGGCCTGCCACTATCATCCTTGGGCTCCTCGATGGGTGGTCTTTCCACAAAACTAACATTGGCACAGTCTGCTCGGTAATGCCACCCCCCTCCTGATGGAGGCCACGCTCTTGCCACCACAAGCAGATGGAAGCTGAGGTGGAAATGATTGTTTCGTTTGACGTTCACCCTCCTCCCCACTCTAGTCCTGAAAACCAAGTGGGAGTTGCAGCTACTTAGATGCCTCTACTTCCCGGGTCCCAGAGACTGGTCCAGGTTCCTCATCTGATCTAAGATAGATCAAGCAGTTCCTCCACGGATTAGTTTTTCCTAATGAGGAGGGGTAGTGTCTCTCTGTGGTCTGAGCCTGTAAAGACAGCCGCTGGAGCCTGCAGGAGGCCAAGTCTCCACCATGTGCATAAGACATTTTCAAAAAAATGGTCCTGTAGAGTGAGACATAGAGCCAAGAGAGGAGAGGGACAATTATAAGGGCATCTAGACCCTGTTGCCAGGCATCCCCAAGGCAGCTTCCATCTGAGCCTGGATATAGGTCTATATCCTATATCTAATGCGCCTCTTTTTGGTGAGGCCAATTCAATTTTTTTACTTGGACTCACACCCAGAAAGCCCTAATGCAGAGGCCTCTTCCTCTTTCAGTTGGTCTCAGCTCCACGTATTTTCAGCACTTTCAGGTCCAGCTCTTCATCACTTTGCCCCCGCCTTTTCCTGGGTGGCCCCCTGTGGCCTCTCCACTCACCTGCATCAAGCTCCCCTTGGCTACGCTGCCACGTGCCGCCAACACCCGGCCCTCCCGGTGCCCAGGGTGAGTGATCTGCCGCTGCCACGACCACTTAGTTTATTTCCAACAAACCCATTCCTCCTCCCTTTTACTCATCCTCTGCTATTTGTCTGGCATATGTATGTTTCTTCAGAAAGACGGTAGATTCCTTCGACAGCAAGAATCTCTTTATCCCGGCTCCTGTTGCCTAGTATCACAGTTCACACACAATAGGCTCTCCATAAATATTTGCTAAATAAATCAAATAAGAATCCCCATCTCCCTGACACATCATCCCTGACTTGTGGGAAGGAAATAAGTCAATTCTCTTTTCCTCCTTTGCTGAAGCAGTTCGAAGACTCTCCGCCTTCCCTTGCCATTTCACAATGTGCTCTTCCCCTCTCTCTGCATTTCATGTCAGTCCTGCAGCGTCCCTGCCCTGTGAAGTGGGCCCCGGTGGGAGGTGCGAGTCTTCCCACACTCATCGTTATCTCCTCTCCAGCTGCCACAGATACATTTACGATCTGAGTTAAAGCCTGGTGTTGCATTGTGTTTGCACCTTAGGGGAAGACACCTCTTCCTCATTAGAAATTTGGGAATCTCCTTTTTATAGTATTTATATTGGATTCAGGCAACTAGTACATTTAATTTGTTTAACAAATGCTTACATGGCACTTACTGAATGTCAGGCACTGTTCTGAGCACTTTAACCATAGTAACTAGTTCCTTCTTATAACAACCTTGCCAGGTAGATAAAATTATTACCCTCAGCCTCATTTCACAGATGAGGAAATGGGGACACAGAATGATGAAGGGACTTGCCCAAGGTCCCACAGCAATTGCTAGCTAAGCTGGAATTCGAATAGTCAGGCTGGCTCCAGAACCCACGTCCTACCCACTGGGTCCTGCTGCCTGCCAGTGATCAGGGCAGAGTCCAGACCACACATCTGAGCTGCCTTTCTTCACACTCAGGCCTCTTGAAAGCAGGAAGTCTCTTTGACATGACTACCTAGCAACATGTCAACGTGTGCTTGCTTAATCAATGTTTCTGGGCTTATCGATTCACTACCTATGGCCTGAATACAGGTTTATTTATGTTATTCTACGCAGTTAATTGTTCACATTGTAATCAACGCTCGTCCTAAAATTTGGTTCCTCAAGATATATTTTCAGACAACCGAGGAACCACGCCAAGAATTAAATCTAATGACACATTGCACCCATTTTGAGTCCTAGAGATGACTTGGAGGCAAAACGTGTGTTATTTAAAATTATTAAACTGATAGTAAATAAAATGTCATTTTGCCCAAAAGAGAGATTAAGTTGCAGCTCCCTTTTCTTTTTTTATTGCCCTCTCTAGGTGTCTAGGATCAGACAAGACATTTTTTTCTCCTGATTTTTAGTCTTTTTCTTGAATTAGTACATATTTTTTAGCTGCTCACAAGCCACCACTCACTGTTCAGCAAAAAAAGAAAAAATCAGATTCAAACCCCAGAACAGAACAAACATGAAGAACACAGGGGCTATTTATTTGATGTAGGGGTGATTCATAGTATGGTGTTTGGGTACTGTTTGGAGCCAATGCTAGTTGCCTCAGGGTATTTCTAAATTGAATTCCAGGAATAAAGTGTTTATAAATAGTGAGCATAGAAAAGAAATGTATTCATCCCAGCCACTCCCTTAAGGAGTCCCAGTGGCCTCCCCTTGGAACTACCGACTCATTCAAGTAGTTAATTGATTAGCTGGTTGGGTTAAGTTGGTGGTTCTCAACCCTATCAGACCCAACACCCTATTTTATGACAAATAAACTTAACCTTTTTTATAATCCTTAAATTAAATTCATATATAATAAAATCTACACACAAATAAATATATATATGTCTTAATAGTAATTAAAAGAGAAATGCTAAGATATAATTTATAATGATATAACTATTTTAATGTATAAATTCTCTGCAATATTACAGTGGAAGAAATAATAAAGTTGACAGACATTTGCGTCTAATGTAGATTCACCAAAATATAATATGTAAAGTAATATGCAATACACGATATATGTAAGAGCAATTAGACTGAAACAGACATGCTGTATTGGTGATTCAAAGACCATGAGCAGCATTGTAGACAATGATGTGATTTTCCAAAATTATGAACAAATCTTGGTAAAATTCCTAAATAATAGTGTATAATCTTCTCTTAATTTACATGGTAGTTATGCACCTAGACAAATCATCTTGTGTTAAAACAGTACAAGCTGCTTTGTTGCTTGTATGTAAATGGAGTTAGCATCTAGGCTCAGATAATTATAAGCAGGTTTTTTCTACATAAGTGTGCAGCAAGACATTCAGAAGTTTGCAGGACACGGGGGAATTTTTTTGTTGTGCAGGGCTATTCTGAGCACTGCTCTGTTCTAGCCTTCCAGACCTGCCTTCTAAATGCCAGTAATGTCCTGCAATCATTGTGTCATTCAAGGGCAACTGCCCTAAATTTCCCCAAATACTCTCTATTGGTGACACCACCCTCATGGACAACCACTGGGTCAATTCCTAGTATTAGATTTAGTCCCAAATAATTATGTCAATTTATTCTCCTGACTTTTTGTAGTCCTTGAAAACCAAAGGCATGTCTACAGTAAAATCCTCAGTAATTAGGTTATTGGGTTGGTGTGATTGGGTTATACTGGAGACTGTATGTTCCATGAGAGCAAGGGCCCAGTTCACCCCATGTGCACAATATCTAGTACCTGCACAAGGCCGGGCTTTATATGTCTTGCTTGAAGGAGTAAACAATTTTGGGGTTGGACATCTGGGTTAGTGAAGAGATATATACTATTGAAAAGGAATAGATTTGTTACTTTCAAGTACATGTGACGTCCAGATGCTCACTAGAGAGACCCGTATTTAAGTCTTATTCAAAAATACCATTTCAGTTGTTTCTGATTGAATGAGTGACATTATAATGATTGAAACCATCTGGAAGCTGTCAAAGACCCAGAACCTTCATGTCATTTTGAGGGAAAGGGGGCATGTTGAGGACCCCACATGAACTGCGACCTTGGCCTAAAAGGTTTGCTTCATCTTCACAGTGGTCTGTGAAGCAGCTATTAGCAAATCTGTTTTTACAAGTGATGAAATTAGACTCAACAAGGCAAATAATCTGCCCAAAGGTAGACAGTTGGCTCAACAGCAGAACAGAGTTGGAACTCAGAACTGTCTGATTCCGGAGGCTTCATCTTTCCAAGAAATCATACTGCTTCTCTTTCTTCAGTGAAGCAAAGCTAAGTGTCTGTTAAATCTATTGGGTTGGCCAAAAAGTTCGTTTGGGTTTCTCCATAACATCTTACGGACATTATTATAATTTTAGTCTGTACAGAGTTCCAGCTGTCATGTCTATTAAATTCCACTTTTCCTAGTGGGTCAGTGATTTTTGCATTGATCCTGTTCCTGGTTGGGTTCCAGCATTCCAGGTCTTGTAAGCTCACTTTAGTGGGATTCTTGAGGGACTGTGTCCTCTTTGTCTTTGGGTCTCCAGAACCTGGGATGGTAACTGGCACAGAGTAGACATTCAGGGAGTTTGTTGGTTGACTTTAATTGCATGCCATTTCTCCTTTCAGGCCTTGGCCTTATACAATATTTCAGCGAGGCTTTGACCTGGTTTTGGGAGAACAACCTTCTGATAAAATATTCAGGTAAGTTGTTGTCTAGGGACTTGCTTATATATCTCTGCAAGCCCCATGTCCCACTTCCCACTGAACTTTCTTTCCTAGTGGTAATTTATAAAATGGGGAACACTTTTAGTCATTCTGCCCTCCTAGTAACAGCAGCGTTTGCCCACCTTCATCCAGTGACATCATGGAGGATGTTGAGGCCAGACAGATTCTGTTGGGGTCCTGGCTTCCTTCCTTGCCTGCTCTGTGACCCCCAGTCACTTACTTAACCTCTTGGAGCCCCCAGTTTCCACATTTGTTAAACAGAGCTTCATTACATGCCTTGCTGTATTGTTGTGAGGAGTATATGAGGTAATGCAGGGAAAACCCCTGGCACAGAACAAGCAACTAATGTTAGTTTTTGCCTCTTCATTTTGCATCTAATTTGCACCTTTCTCATAAAGACTTAAGTGGTTCAAAATTAATCCCTCCTATCTCTGCCTCCCTCCTTTCTCAGCTATACCTCATTATCATTTTCTTTAATCTACCACCCTTCTGAACCAATTGGATGTTTCTAGTCCCTCCCAAATTTCTACCTACACACCTGGGAATGGTACATATTAGAAAAGTCAGCAAGCAGAGGAAGAATTTGGGTGCCAGCCATGAACTAGGAGATTTTCATAAAGTTTAATTCACGCCAGACCTTAGCTGGAACACAAGTTTATTTCCAAGCTAAGATCTTATCATCCGTTTCTTCAGTCTGTCAGTCTATTTTTCACTTAACGTGCATCAACTGAGTACCCCCTAAGTGCCAGAGATTGTGCTTGTGCAGGAGGTATGGACACGAATACCTCTCCCTTCACGAGCAAGCCCTCTGGGAGAGGAAGTAAATAGTCCTTCCCGAGTGTTTGATGTCAAAGGAGGCATTAAGCGACTGCATAGCCATACTGGAGGAATGGTGAGCGAATGGAAAACTTGCTTCCTTTTGTTCACTGCACTCGTACACTGTGAGGAGTCTCGCCTGTTCACTGCCGTCTTTCCACACCCCTTCCCCAGACCCTCTCTGTCAGCCAGTCCTGGCCTTGGTGTTCATTTTGCTCCTGCATTTGCCTCCTGGAGCTGGCTTCTCTGCCTCAGCTTCTCCTTCTCCTCCCTGCTGCCTTGGATGCACTGGGCTCTGCCACTGCCGTGCTCTCCTAAGGCACTCTCCTAGCTAGAGCGCCGATTCACAGAGCCACTTCCTCACAGAGCCCTCCCTTGCCCTTTTCTCTCCCGATGTGATGTCTCTCCGGGGATGGGCTGGGTCATGTTAATGACATTGGCCACAGGCTGCTTTTGAGGATTTGTGCTGCAAGAGGTGTAGCTGTATTCCTTAGACTATGACTCGGGCATTTAAACTTTCCAACAATGATGTATTATTTGGCAGACTTTTTTCTCCCTTTTTCCTGCTGCTGGTCTGTTGGAACTTATGAAGGGTGATAAGGAACTTATGAAGGGTGATAAAGATAAGGCAGATGGAGAGCCTGGTGGAGTTCTATTAACATGGATAGGTTCCCTCTCCCCTAAAGGTCCGAAACTAACACTTTGAAAAACCAAGCCCTTAATGAAATTGCTTTTAGAGTAGAACCAGCTCAAAAAATGTGTTTCCATCCCCACGAGCATCATTTGTTCTTTTAAAGTTTGTTAAGTAGCAACTAGATGTGATACCCAGTCACTACAGAGGGGATCACATGTGTGGTTTGACCCATGCAGTCACCTATCTCAGAAGCCAGTGGGTTAATCAATAAGTGTTTAAACATTTTGATCCCTAACATAACAGATGAAAACACCAGGTCATGACCTCTTTATTTCAGGTAGTAAGAATTTTAATGAGAACCTTCTGTGATCTGAGTCAACCAACTGCCAATGGCCAGTCTGGAAAATTCTATGACCTGGTCAGTGACTGCAATTTCTTAAAGGAGCTAAATGACTATTTACTTGCTACTCTGTTCACTTATGATTTAGAGACTTGATAAATTCCAAGCCACTGCATATTTCCCTGGACTGTGGAATAAAATTTAAATTCTGACATTCAGATCTTTCCACAATTGAATGTCAATGTACAACTCCCTCTTAATGAGCTGCTCTTCTCCTATAGAACCTTCCATTCATAGTCAAATCTACCTTCTAACTGATCCACTGCCCCTGACAACTTGCATATTTCCCACTCTGCACATCTGCTCAGACTCCCTCCTCTATGCATATTCTTCTATAAACACTACCCATTGCCATGATCTAGACCCAGTTTCAGCTAAACTCAACATCTATTGAGCACCTACTATTGCAAGGTACTGTTCAAGATGATGTAGATATGACCAAACAAATGTGACCAAGATAGTCCCTGACGTCAAGGAATTTACAGTCTCATCTAAGAATTGTTCTCCAACCATGGCCCTCCATGAGAATCTCCAGTGAGTGGATAAGACTCTGGGCTTCCAAGGCAGGGGCCACGAGTTCAATCCCTGGTCGGGGAGCTAGGATCCCACATGCCATCTGGTGTGGCAAAAAAAAAAAAAAAATTACCAATGATCTTACCCAAAATAAACCAATTAATTGAAAAGTTCTGGGAGGTGGGACCAGGGCATGAGTGTTTTTTAAAATACCACAGTAATTCTAATCTGTACCCAGGATTGGGAAACACTGGCCTGAAGCTTCTCCAATCCATTGCATCAATCCACAATGACTTCCTCCTTCCAAATTTGTATATATACTAGCTTTAATGTTTATTTGTCAATTATTTATTTCATGTTGATTTTTAATTTGCCTATTTGCTTCTCCAATGAAATGGTTGTCTTCCTGAAGGGCGGGGAAATACGCTATATAGTTTCTTTTTTTTTTTTTTTTTTTTTTTTGCGGTACGCGGGCCTCTCACTCTTGCGGCCTCTGCCCCTGCGGAGCACAGGCTCTGGACGCACAGGCTCAGCGGCCATGGCTCACGGGCCCAGCCGCTCCGCGGCATGTGGGATCCTCCCAGACCGGGGCACAAATCCGTGTCTCCTGCATCGGCAGGCAGACTCTCAACCACTGCGCCACCGGGGAAGCCCACCCTATATGGTTTTAAATATTTAATATCTAACATACCATTTTAAACATAGTTGGTCTTCAATAAATAACTGTAGATGATCATGTCAGGTATTTCCTAGCCAGATTAGGAAAAAACCTAGAAAAAATCCCAGAGAACCTGGGAAGGGCCCAAGCTAGACTCAAAGGATCCAAGGGAACCCTGAATCTCCAGAATGAGTCTCCTCACCCAACTCAGCCTGATACTGAAGATGTTCTTTCTGTGGTAGCTAGGATCACTCCATTCCACTAGGCCCTCTCGTGGCAGGGGTGAGTACAGACCAAATTTTTCTCTCAGAGACCTTCGTCCTGAGTGCGTACCTGCATCCTTTGGAATAATACCTCATTCTGGCATGGCTTGCCCTAGGAAAGGGTGGAGATGCCAGGCTAAGAGCCATTTATCAGTTTTCCCACATTCGATTTCATGCCAAGCCACGATGAGAGCACTGGCTTTTTCTGTCCAGTGCTTTCTGGCAAGCGCTTGCTTCTGGACAGAAATTTCCAGCTCTAGTTCAAAAGGGCCATGTGCAGGACTCAGCCCACAGCTGAGCCATTAACTGCAGTGGTCACCACCAGCTGTCACGCGAGAAGGCCCAACCTGGGAAAGCATTTCAGATATTCACCCAACTTCTCTTCGGTGGCTTTTTGAAGTTGTTCCTGCCAAATCTGCATGGATGAGGGATAGATGAGATTTTAGGATGCAGCTTTCCTCTGACAGTTTGTTCTATATTTAGTTTTTGGAGTCACTCAGTAGATTTTGCAGATAAAAGAAAACTTTAGAATTTCATACGCATGAGCCAACATGGGCTGGAAAGCGGCTCTGAGCAACACTCTGAGAATCAGACCCACCCCCCTCCTTCCCACTTATGGAGAGGCGACCTTGGGGAGGTTGCAAAACTTCTTAAAATGTTGGTTGATGTCTTGGTAAGATGGAACCAAATGACTAACCTCAGAGGGCTGTTGTGAGGATAAATGAGGCAACTCTAAGAGCACCTGCCTTTAGAAAGTTCTCAATAAAGGTTAGTCTCTACCCACACCTGACTTTGCTTCCCCTACAAGGTTTCACCTTGACCCTACCAGAGGGTGAAGGGTTTCTTGTTAACTTGGTAGAGTGTCATGTTTCAGAAGTTTCTGTGCTCTGAGGAAGTTCTTTATCCTATCAAACCCAGATCCATCTCAAACATCAAATGTGTTCAAACCCAGAGGTTAACCCATATCCTGTTTTAAATGAAGAATAATTTTCACCACCATTTCTATCTTTAAATTGGAAAATTGGGATTATCTCCCCTAGCAGCCTGTTCGAACTAAAGAGCATAGCTAAATCTCCTTGTCGAGCAGTCAGTAAATATTTATGGAGTGACATTCCTGTGTCAGAAATTATGTTTGGCAGTGGGGATACAAGATGACAAAGAACCATCCTCTGCCTACCAAGAGAGCGCATTCTTATGAATGGTGATGGACACATGAAAAGATGAGTGCAGATCAACATCTCAGGGGTGACAAGGCACCGTGTGCACGTATGCAGAAGAGAGTCCCTTACTCAGCCTAAGAGCATGAAGGCCCTGGAGGGCTTTCAGGAAGAGATGCGACCTTAACTGTGTCTTAAAATGAGTGGGAGTGCGGCAAAGGAGAGAGGAAAGAAAATTCAGAAGGAAGGACTTTTAAGAGCAAAGGCAAGGAGGCGAGAAAATGAGGACGACTTTTGGAGTTACGGGCAGATTGCATTGTGGGAACACAGAGTTTGAAGCAGGGCTTGGTGAAAGAAGAAGCTGAAGTGTGACATCTTCGGAGATGTGGACTGTGTTCTGTGGGTCTGGGTGCCCTTAAACAGTGTCAGTTGGAGAAAGATGTGGTTTGCATTTCCTTTCGAAAGATTACTGCATGCAGAGGAGGAAGGGAAAACTGAGATGGATGGACATGGATCTCTCTCCCAAAAGAAATATGCTAGAATTGCCAACCGTCTTCTAAAATCTGCTACAGAAATTATAAGCTACAGGTCACAGATCTGTTGCTCTGCATCAATGCAAAACTTGTCATTTTAAAACTGAAATAGAAAACAAAAACTCCTGTCTATGTCCAAATAAACCGCCTTCTCCCTGGTACCCTTCAATATTGCATATGTCCTCTCTGAAACAGTGTATTATGCGTAACATCAGTGGTGTGCCCACCCCAGCCTGCCTGTTAGAGTCTTCCTGTCTTAACAACGCCCATTACAAAACTCACTTAAATGTTGTTGCCTTCAAACCACATTCTTCCTTAAGTCCCAGGTTCCAGGCACCTTGGGGCAATCACCTGCCCTGAATGGGCTCCTTAATCTTGCCAGGTGATTTTGTGTGTGTGTGTGTGTGTGTGTGTGTGTGTGTGTGTGTGTGTGTGTAGGAAGTGGCATGCCTTCAATTTCACCAGCTGCTTCACAGAAGAGTGGGTGGTGGGTTTCCTCTTCTGTCCCCCTAGTAATGGGTCTCCCTCACCTGGTGGAGACCCCTCCTGCACTGACCTAGCCCTACCCTAGCCTCCTGTTCCTGTGGGCATGGAGAGTCGAGTGCCTCCTTCAGAGCAAAAAGGATCTCTGCTATTTCAGTGCTGCTTAATGCAGAGGTGTGCTCCACAGGTCCAGGAAGTAGGGGACTGAGAGTACTGCTGGGAATGAGGGAGGAATCTCCCCAATCCTGGCCACGTCCCACTTGCTCAGTGGTTTTGCCTCTCCCCTGGGTGCCTGCTTTCTCTTCTTTCAGCTGCTCTGTTACCCAGGTCTGTTGTTCAGGGAGTGGATGAAAATCACAGGACTTGGCTGCTTAAAACTCATGAGCCTTGGTCAGTGGGGATTCTCTGTGGCCCGCGTCCTAGAGAGGGCTACACGTCTCATAAAAGATCTCATGTCATCAGTCTGGTTTCCTAGCATCCCAGGCAACCTGGGGAGTGGAGAGGGGAATGTGCAGGTTAGGGGAAAGGAGAGGGAGTCTGAAGTGGTGCTCTGTGACCAGCTTGCTAATGGAGCCGGTGCTGGTTCCGTTTAATTGTACGCATCCTTCCATTGTTCCTCCTTGCACTTTAAGCGGGAAGGGGACGCCAGACTGCCACAGCCTCGTGCTATCCCACCCACACTGGCTTTTGTCCCAGGGACTATTTTTGACTGTGAACACAGAGGATTTGAATGCCTTTGAAATAAAATGAATGAATAAATAAACAAATAATCTCTCATGGTTTCCTTAAGCTCTCCCGTGAAATGCTGATTGATTCCTTTATTCCTTTTAGCCCTTGTTATAAGAGAGAAGAAAAATCTTCCCTGTCTCCTGCGGGTTAGGCGTTAGCTAGGGGTGTGGGTAGGAGTGTGGAGGATACATCTGGGCCTACCTTCTTCATCCCTCTTCTCTCCTCCTGGGAGGCTCCTGGCTTCAGTCATTTCCACTCCCATCCCATAGAAGCCAGAAAAAGGGAGCTTTTCTTCTTTCTTTTCCTTGGTAGGGCTCCTCCAGGCACAGAGAGAAACCGTCACTACCACTGTGGGTGTGCAACGTGGGGGATGGGAATGGTGGGAGGCCGGTACATCTTTCCAATTAAAATGCTTCCAATTATATCTGACTTAAGATCGGGGAAGCCCAGTTTCAAATCTGAAGGAAACTGGAACTTGATTGCTTATGATATAAAAAAAAAAAAGACACTTTTAAGAGTGGGCAAGTGGATGCCATCATCAGTTCTCCAGCCGGCTGGACACGTGAGCAGAGGTAGGCCTCTCTGCCTGCCTCAGACTCGATCATCTCATCCATCAAATGACAATAAGCTCTCCTTTTTGGAGAGGACTACAAGGGTTAAGAAGGAAGCAGCTGAAGGTAGAGTGCCAGGTCCTCCAGTGGGGTGCTTACCCCGCCAGTCATAACCAGCTGGTGTTGGGTGTCTCTGCAGATTCACCTACACCCTCGGGGAGGGCATGTGGTTGCCCCTCAGCAAGAGCTTTGTGATTCCACCAGCTGAACTGGCCATCAACCCCTCAGCGAAGTGTAAGACAGACATGACAGTGATGGAGGATGCTGTGGAGGTCAGGTGAGTCCAGCCTCGGGACGCTGAGGCCCACAATGGGTTTGGGAGGCTGAGTGGGAAACTACCTGAACGCCCAAGGTGCTGGGAAGGGAATCAAGACAAGTTGGAAGGAGAAGTTGGCAGGCTGCCTTCCAATTCCCCAGATGCAGTGCCAGGATCTACGCTACCTGGGTCAATATTGCACACCCCAAGTCTCATGCACCGAGAGAGGTCATAAAATTAGAGTTTATTATAAGCACTTCCCACAGACCCTCAGGACTGACAGGCAATAAAATGTTAATTTCCTTGCCTGAGTTGAGACCTTCTTCTTTGACCAGGAGTTACAGCCTTGGCTTATTTCCCAGAGATGGAGAATGTCCATAATTTGTTAGTTCAAGGCTCAGAGTATGGTTGATCTTTAATATTTGTAAGAGAGAGTAAGACATGATCCGGTTGGCCAGACAGCAACGTGGAATGTGAGGCTACCTGTTGCACCTGGCGTCCCCTGGCCTCCTCCTACCTCCTGCTCTTTCTTCCTACAGAGAGGAGCTGATGACCTCATCCTCCTTTGACAGCCTGGAGGTCCTCTTAGATTCCTTTGGACCAGTCCGTGATTGCAGCAAGGATAATGGGGGCTGCAGTAAGAACTTCCGTTGCATCTCAGATCGCAAGCTGGACTCCACTGGTTGCGTGGTATGTCTGCCCTGTCGAGCTTGTAATTTCAGAGAGAGGGGCCACAGGATAAGACACAATGCAGTTAGAGTTGAAAGCGTACTGTGAGTAAAAGGGAGGGTCAAGATTGATTCCTCCCTAGTTGTAACTACTGTCTAGTCTACATTATGAATTTTCTTTTGACAGAGATGAGGTATGTATGGAGTCATTTAATCAGGAGGTGTTTGTGGGGCACCTACTGTGTGTGCTGCAAGTATCCTAGGAAAATGTCATGAACTGTACGGCATGGCTCTTTCCTGCCAGCCTCGCGCTCTAGTTGGTGAGGGATCCCCTCAAACAATCTGAGAACGAATTAACTGCTTCGTAGTATACTATTGACTCTAGCAGGAAATAGACTGCATTTACTATAGCAGGAAATTCTAGAAGAAACCTACCTTTGCCAAGAATCAAATTACATTGACTATAATAGGAAGTTTTAGAAGACACATACCTAAGGCCAGAATGATGAAAGAAGTAAGTTATGCCAGGAATGGTAGAGAAAAAATAGAAATAGGTCCTCTTTGAGACCATAGCAATGAAGTCCTGCTTCCCCAAATGTGGTTTTCTACTTTATCGGCCATATGGACCTTCGCTACGTGTAAACTGTGTGACGCTATGAACTAGGAAGACTGTTTGGGTTAGAGTGGACCAAGCTATCTCCCATGCCATGGATATGAAGATTGATGGACCCACGCAGGTAAATGGAGGCAGGAGCAGATGGGCAAGGCTTCAGCTCCTGGGGCCTTTATATTAGTCATTTTCATGCCCATCAACACTTGTTGTCACGTTTCAGCCTTCCCTTCTTTTGAGGGCGGAATGATGCAATACTGACAGAGGGGAGAGGGAACAGGGCAGAGAAGAAAGACAGGAAAGCCATACACAAAGTTGGCATGAAAGAGAGGAAGAGGTGATTCACTGAGACACGTTGTTATGCAGGGTTTCCGGGCAGAGCTGGGAGCTTCCAGCTCTGGAGACGATATGGAGCCTCATCTTGCTTCCCAGTCTGACAGCTGTGCTCTTGTAAAGGGGCCCAGAGGAGGGGCAAGCTGTGAGGATGCTGGGGCCAATTCCATCTTTCACACCCCCTACTTCCCTGTCTCTGAGCACCTGTCCAGGGAGCTATTCTCCATCAAAGATGGATACGTACCTGGGTCCAGAGTGCGACTCTCTCAGCCCAAAGGCCTCCCCAGACTTTCACAGATTGGGCAGCAGTTGGCAGGAGGCTGATTCCTCTGAGAAGGGACAGAAGAAAAAGAAAAGAAAATGGAAAGAGAGAGGGCTGAGGGGCAGGGAGGCAGAGGACCTGGCCGGTCCATCAAAAGGAAGGGAAGACAGAACAGAGAGGACTACCAGGAAAACACAAAGAAAAGTGCTCTTTAGGTCGTGTCTTCCAAAGGCAGCCAGGAGGTGAGTCGATGTCCCAGGTACTCCCCTTCCTATAGCTAGTCTGCTTTCAGATGTCTTATGCAATGAGCTTCCCAGCGGGCTCCCTCAGGAGACAATTTCACTGTCTAATGGAGTTCCCAGCTGAGACACATTTTTTAAAAACTATTCAACCTGCATGTCTTCATCCAGATTTCAACCTTTCCTTCCTTGCTGCTCTCTCGGGTGGGTCATTATAAGTACTGAAACACTGTGTGTGCACACATGTAAACATCCCTCCCCTACCACCCTCATACGAGTTTGAGCATGCCCGCACATGCACACACGTGCACATGGATATATTCCCCATCTCTTCCCACTTCTCTGCCCTTTCTCTGAGCCCCTCAGGGTTTGCCTTCTGTTGGTGATCCCAGCCCCTTTTAGTTGGCATATTGCCGTGCTGATGTATTCTTGTACTTTTAAGACCGTGCTCTGTGAGACGGAGCTTGCAGGAATAGTTCCGATGAATATGCATTTGCAATAAGGCTGCTGCATTTGTGAATCGGAGCCACTGCAGAAGTCACCCAATTGTACCAGCACTTGCCATTAGCATAAGACTTTGAAGTCACTGGCCCATGTGGCTCTTGGAGGGAGAAGGGGGCCGGGCCCATTCAACCGACTGTTTCTCATTGGCTGGGAAGCACGGGATCCCTGAGGCGGAGGACTGGGGCTTGAGAGCTGACGGGCCACCTCATAATCTTGTGACCCTACTGAGAAAATCTTGATGTTGCGCCTGATCTGATTCCACTGGGCATCAGTACCATCCCGCAGCCTTGGTGCGTTAGCCCAGGGGTTCCGTGTCATCTGGAGGAGGACCAGGGACAAGGGCATCGGCTGCAGCGCCTGCAACGTGGAGAGAGTCGGGCTCCCTTCCTCCTTCCATCCACATCAACCCTGACATTCAGTTCTCTGAGTGTCGAACTGAGAGGCTTCCCTGGAAAGGCATATGCTTATGAAAGAAGAGGAGGCACTCAGAGCACGCTGGCCCTTAATGAACCTGGGAGAGGGACAGAGATGCGGGAAGAGACAGGTTCCACCGCATATTTTCCTGACTGAGTTCAAGCCAGACGGGTGGGCTTGGTCCACAGCAGCTGCTCAACCTTCCTTCTTTCTAGGAAGGCAGGGCACGCCTCTCTGTTATGCATGGACTCCCGCAGGGTTAATTGCTACCCAATTAATTGCGCTGTTATTTATGTAGTCTCTGGGGACAGGAAACAAATACCCGTGAAAGGCATAGCCCTGTACCAGCCTCAGTCACTCCGTTCCAAACCAGACCACTCTCCAACGGTGGGATTGCTGGACGTTTAGATGATTCCTGGAGCAGAGGTCCGCCCCCTACCGCGGACAGCAGGTCTTACTCCTACCCATTGTCCTTACTGTGCCAGGGTGGGAGCAGTGGTCCCCACCTGCACAGCACAGGAGTGCCCGTTCTCTGTTCTGTGGAGCCCCAGGGGGTCCTGCAGAGTCCATGTGTTAGTGACCTATTGCTGCTGTAACAAATTACCACAGGTTTGATGGCCTAAAACAACAGCCATTTTATTATCTTACAGCTCAATAGGTGAGAATCCAATTCCGTGTCCCTGGGCTAACATGAAGGTGTCAGCAGGGCTGCCTTCCTTTCTAGCGGCTCTGTTCCTGGTCTTTTCCAGCTTCTAGAGGCTGCCTGCATTTTGGGGGCTCATGGTCCCCTTCCTCCATCTTTAAAGCCAGCTATATTGCATTTTCCTGACCATTCTTCTGTAGGACATCTTCTCTCTCTTCTCTTCTGTCCTCCGTCTTCCACTTTTAAGGAGTCTTGTGATTACATTGAGCTCACCTGGTTAACCCAGGATCATCTCCTCATCTCAAGAGCCTTAACTTGATCTGCAAAGCCCCTTTTGTCACAGGTTCCAGGGATTATGTCGCAGGCATCCTTGGTGCCATCAGTGGGAGACAGCAGTGGGAACTGGAGGAGCCTTGGTGGGTAGGACTCTAGTCTCCCCTCTCCCAGCTTTAACCAGAGCATCTTGATTCTTACCAAGCCTACCTATTGAGGTTTAATATAAAACCGTATTTGAAGTTTGAAAATGATTTCCAACACTATAAAACTATTTTCAAAAAATTATAAAAATGGAAAGCCTGTGCTCTAATGCTTCTTCCTTATCTTCACACTCATCCTGACAGTGACCCCCCCCAGAATGCCTTCTGCTATGTGAGGTGTCTGCACATCCTTAGGTGAGCAGACTGTGGCCTCGGAAGGTGAGAGGTCTGCTGTCCTGCTTTCTCATGTATTGAACACATGACCTTCCTTGCCAGAGCATTATGCTCTAATGAGCACTGAATTACCCAGCGACCCTGCCGCCCTTCTGTCCACTTGCTGTCCACAATGGTTTCCCACTGTGTCATTTCACCTCCACTGGAGCGCAGATGTGCGGAGACCATTACAGATGACCGTCTCTCGTTCTCTCTGTAGGACAGTAAGCAGAAGGCTATGCCTCAGAAGCTTTCAGAGAAGTGGGGGCAGGAAGCTGAGATAGAAATTTAATTCCATCAGACTTCTCCCCCTTGCTCCTGCACGGCTTGGGCTTACATGTCAAAGCCCATCAAACAGCCGGGGAAATCATTATTTATGAAAAGAATAAGACTGCCGTGTTGTAAAGAAGAACCTATTTCGAGTAGGACTTATGGTTGCATGTCTTATGAATCATCCAGGTAAGGCAAGGCAGGCTCGGCTGTAGAACATTGTTCCTCTTCTCCCAGGGGCCCTGAATACACTCCTGTGTCCATCAGTCATACACATCTGCCAACAGAGCTTCCACCTCATGATCTGGAACTGAGGTGTGTGTGTCTCAGGCTGAGTAAGATTTGACTAGATTCCTAAGTAATTAATCAGCCAAAAATCATTGGTAGAAACAGAGGGGAAGACAGTGAAGAAAAGGAATTGAATGGCGAGAATCATTTAAATCTCATTAGCACATTATGCTTGAGACCAGTGATAAGTCAGGAAGCCATGAGCATCACATGAAAGATGATTAACCTTGTGTATTTTAGGGGTCACTGAAATATGAGCTCATATATTAGACTTTCTTGATGGGTAAGGGTTGTTGCCATAATAAATGGAGTTTTCTTCCTGGGACTGCTAAATGTAACCTATGCAAAGAGGGGTTAATGTCTGACCTTGGGGCTCAATCCTGAGCAAACAGTTCTCTTTTAAGGAAGAAGTGAAGGGATTGTCCACAAGCCGGGAGAAGAGAATGGCCAGCACTTGCAGAGGGAAACTACAAGCTCCTCCTGGAGGCCAGATTTCTCTCCTGACAACTGGTCTCTAGCTGCAAATACTTCTAGGAAGAGGCCATGATTTGGAGCGTATAGTTTCTTTGTGTTTAGATATAGATTTTGAGGAGCTCAACATGTGACTATAACAGCACATGAAACATTCAGGCAAAAGCAAAAGCAAATTTATACCGTGGGAAACTTGATTGATTAGACTCCTTGGGGATGGGAGTTCTGGTTCAGCAAGGGTTAAGAAGAAAACTCTATTTTTGGTTTCAGCTTCCTTTTTTTGAAATCTTTCAAAAATGTTTTACTCTGAACTGCAGCCCAAGTAAGTTACAGTTCAGTAAAGATAATTGCATCTTTTTTAGTGATTGAGGATCTTGTCTTGCTTTCAAGGTCATTGCTCTGGACAGTTTGCAGTGTTTTGTCCTATAAATATATGCACCCATAATACAGTGTGTGTGTGTGTGTGTGTGTGTGTGTGTGTGTGTGTGTGTGTGTGTGAAGAGAAGGGGGGAGAGAGAATATTAGTCTGGATCTAGAAATCCATAATTGATTCCAGAATGTACTCAAGGAATTGCCTAAGACAGTTGAACAAACAAACAACAGATCTATGGGATTGCTTTATTTTGTTGACACATTGACTTTATTCTTTAGCAATTCCAAAGATCCAGCTTTTCTCACACTTGAGAAGCAGTATGCCAGAGTGGAAGGGACACAAATGAACACTGGGGTCAGATAGAACTAGGTCCAAATTCTGATTCTGCCATTTTCCACGTCTGTGACCTTAAACAAGTTACTACTAATCTTTCTGAGTCTAAGTCTGTTCACTTATAAAATAAGGGGAAAAAAGTCTAATTGTGAGATTGAAGATAATTTATGTAGATTGTCCTGCACATGGAATTGCTTAATTCCCAATAGCTGTTATTATTATTTTTAGCTTTACTTAAGAGAAAAGAAATCCAACTTGGACAAGGCAGCTGTCTTCTTTCCAAATCTCCTACAAAAGGGTAAACATCAGGTGGTCCAATCTGGCACAGTGATGGTTATCTAGACACCAGGGCCAGACAAGATGTGGATGTGCCAGGTTTGGGGGTTCTGGAACAAAGCCTGCTCGGGTTTCATTTGGTGACGTCTTTGTCGAATATCACACTTGATGGGGCATTCTGAAAAGAAAGCAGGTGGTTGAGAAGATGGGGAGTGCTGGCTAGTGACTGAGATGGCTAAGCTGGTACCAGGGTTGAAACCACGTGAGGTAGGAATAACAAGCGCTGGCTTTGTCTCTACTTTGATGGCTCTTCTCAAGCTTTATAGAAGGAAAAAAGAACTCATGGCAACCAGTGCAGCCCACTTAATTCCAGTCAAACTTCTGTGTTTCAATACCCACCATGTCCATGCCTGGGCAGCTTCACAGCGGTGAAGCCAGCTCCCTTCTGGTCGCATATCTGGCCTAACAGCTGGGTGGCCAAGAAAGTGGGTGCGTGGAGGGGGCTAAAGAAATGTGGGGTGCAATCCTCAGCCGCCTCATTGGCTCATTTACCATCATCTGAAACACCTGGGTGTGTACAGCATGAGGCAGCCCTTGGAAACATCCTTAAATGCTGTCACCTTCCAGCACTCCAGCTGGCTCCCTGGGGAGAAAGGGGATGGACCAGGCTGAGAGCCTGGCAGGCTCATGGTGGGGGGGCATTTGTTTGGGAAATTGTAGAATTAGTGTCAGCAAACAGTGCCCATCCTGCTGTGATCTTCAGTTGGGAAGCATATGGCGAGAGGGGAGGTGAGTTTTCAGAGGCACACCTGTGACAGCTCCAGGCTACTAGGCCAAGGTGCTTGGCAACCAGGAGCTAGAGCCAGACAGGCAGCAGCGCAGGAGAGGAGGTGTTTAACATCGTTCTACCGAGTTTTAAAAGGCTTTTTTTGCTGTTTGGTTTTAGTTTTGGAGGAGTGTTTTAGCTAGCTGGCAGTAGGTGTATAGCAGTCACTAAAATCAGGTCAGATCTACACAGACCCCCAGCTGTGCCCCATATAAGCTGCTGGACCCTGGGCAAGTTATCTTTCCCCTTCCAGCCTGTTGGAAGGAATCAGCAGCAATGTAAACGTAGAGTATTTTTTTGCATTGGCTTTTAGATGGAATCCAGTGCAGTAAGAAGTTCATGCGTTAATTGGCAGTGTTAACAGTTTCCAGGTCTATTAAATGAGGATAATACAGGGTGCTGTGAGATGAATACCGAAAGCACATAGCCTAGCGCCCGGCTACTAGTAAGCGTTCAGTCAACAGTGACTGTTGTGGGAGAACCTGATTGTGCTGTGAGCTGGTGATGGTGCAGCCTGCCAAGGTTTCAGGTGCGGTCCTGCCGTAATCAACCATGGGACGTTAGGGAGGTTAAGTTTTGTGCGCCCCCGTTTCTTCACGTGTAAAATGAGGATGATCAGCCCGCTTACCTTATGGGATGCTGTGAGGGTTGTGTGAGTAAGACGCAGGAATATTAGACACTGCCTGGCTCGTCATGGATCCCCTGTGAATGTTCCAACTGCTCACCGAGCCTTTTCATCTTGCCTGGGACCTGACTGATTATTTCTTCCTGCATTATCTCTTCTGCTGTCATTCTTGGGTAGTTTATTGAGGACGTGGTGGTACAGAAAAGCTCAGTGTTTTACACTGAGTGTCCAGGGAACTGGGATAAAGCCCAAACCCAAGTATGGCACCTGTGGGTGCTCATGTAGCAGGTACCCTGGTCTGTGCATCTTCCTCAGGGCATCCTTGAGGTGGGAAGGTCATGAGTACCGCCACTCTCACTAGGAGAGAGTGGCTCCGTCCAAGGTCACAGAGAAAGTCCACTTCCTGCTGCCGGCTGGCAGCCCTGGCTCAGTCCGCTTCCTCCAACATTGCCATCCGGTACCAATGTTGACAAAGTGCTTTGGATGTCAGAAATAAAGTCCTATTAATCCTAAGTCCAAACAGCAGCACCCCCTTCCCCTAGCCCAAAGGAGTCTCTTCTAATGCATTTTAATTCAGGCCCATCACTTCCGCTCTCCTGCCCGTCTGAGGCCCAACTGGGAGGCCAGCACACCTCGGCCCTGTCTTGCTGCAATGCTCCCTTCCAGCCTGCTGGTAGGAATCAGCTTTAATGCAAATGTGTGTGATCTGTGCCCAGAGAGAAGAAGCGAGATGTCAGAAAAGGTCACTTGCTTTTATAGGGAGTCCAGCATAGTGGGAAACTCGTGCATTACTTACCAATGTTGATGGTTTCAAGGCTGAATGCTAAAAATAGGCATCAGTGGTTACATTCTGGTTCCCAGAGAACCCAGGTCCCGGGTTCACCCACCTGTGTGGATGCTTTCTGATTGTGCCAGTGCCCATCCGGACTCAGCCCCATGAAGGACAGCTCTGGTTGCTATGACCGCCACATCGGGGTGGACTGCTCTGATGGCTTCAACGGTGGCTGTGAGCAGCTGTGTCTGCAGCAGATGGCGCCCTTCCCGGATGACCCCGCTGTGTACAACATCCTCATGTTCTGCGGGTGAGTTGAACTGCCCATGAGGCCAACCGGCTTACTGGGATGAGGGACTTTCAGGAAAGTAAACGGATGTGAACCGGTCACTCTAGGCCAGCCCTTAGGCTCTGAGGAAAGAGCCTTCAGGACTGGAAAAGGGGTATTTTTAAAGTCAGAGTTGGAAGGACCCTTAGGGGAAATCTAGCGTCACCACTGAAAATGAGGAAACTGACCTAGGGGTTTACCTAAATCATTTCCAAACTGTGTTTGTGGTGCTATGTTAATTGTTTTGTGACAAAAGGATTCCACGGTCCAAAAGCTTGGGAAAGATTGTGTGAAACTAATCAATTATCAAGGAAGGGACATGCTGGATTGTTGCCGAAAGCCAGTGCCTGTGCATAGTCATGAGAAGATTATTCAGTGGACTAATAATGTTATTTTATTGTATTTCATTTTATTTTCTTTCTTTGCAAGTGGCAATTTTCCTGTTTAGTTTCTTGTAAAATCCCATTCCATAAATGGAAGCTTGATCTCAATTTTAAAGTCTCCATAATGTCATCATTATGGTTGACCCACTTCAATTAATGAGGTAAATTCAGCCAAAGTTGCATAGAATTTATTTATTTAATAAACATATATTTGAGCACCCACCTTGTGCAGACAACCTAGTTAGGTGTCAGATATAGGAGACACAGTAGGATGTGAGATCTGGTCTCCTCTCTCTCAAAGGAGTTTACGATGGGATGTGCGGCCACGAGCACAAAGGAGAATGGGGGAGATGGCAGTGTGAAAGGACAAGTTGTCAAGATGCTCAGGATGGACTAAGAAGGAGCCAGCCAAATTTAAAATTCTTTCCAGAAACACTGTGTTATGGCTCAAGGAAGGAACCACTTTATCTTGTCCCAGACCTAAGCTGGTGCCATAAAGTCCTTTGTGGGTCTCAAATCAGGTCTGTTGTCTGGACTAATACAGTAGGTCCCTAACTGGACTTTCTTTCCTATTTCATCAGAATTTGGTACCCATGTACCTTTAGCACTCTCCAAGCCACTATATATAGCCTGCCAAAAGAAATCCTTGATTTTTGAGGTTCTTTAGAAAGACCAAATCACATGCACTTATAATTAAAGAGCTCTGCTCACACCTGTTCACACGATATGTAAATGGTGAATGGGGAAAACAAAGTTACATTAACATAGGCTTCATTTGTACCTCTGCTAATGACGACAGCAGCATTTAATGAGCACCTACTATAGGCTAGGCACAACATAAGTTCTTTGAGTTCAGTATCTCACTTAATCTTCTCAGTAACCCAACAAAGCAGCTACTGTTTTTCTCACTTTTACAGATGTGGAGTTCAATCAGCTAATTCAAGGTAACCCAGTAAAGGGCGGCGTAATTGCCATGATAATATTGCTTCTCACCACTTAAAACTATGATAATTTGTTCCTCTATATAGAACAGAGGTCTTTATCTTATTGCAACAATTACTATAGATAGCAATAAATGATGTGTTCTAATGTCATGAACATCTATAAATTCCAAATTTGGTATGTTTCTAAGGAGAGACCCAAATTAAATCAATATGCTTTTAAAATGACAGCTTTATCAAAGCCGTTCTTACTTGAACGAACAAATAATGTTCTTCTCACTATAACTACAAATAAAGTCCAATTAATGACTTACGGGTTATTGACCCATATCTACCAACATCAGTATTGCTCTTCCATTAGAGTAACTGCACATGTTTAATGGGGAGGATATCAAGGAGGTGTCCACACAACATGCCCTAACATCTCTTTAGTTCAGGAATGCTACTCTGAATTAAGGGGGAGTTAATCTTACGTTTGGATATATTCAAACAGAGCACAGCAGCAAGATGATCAATCTTTTTAATTTCTTAGCTGACTTGTCACAGGACCAGGTTAGAAGGTTATTAATTTCTTAAGCACAGTGTCATTCTTTTTGCTGCCTAATTACCCTCCAAACAAATGCAGGGTCTGGCCATGTAGATTGTTCTGGAGAAAGACTGTAGAATACTTTGGATTTAAATGTGTTAACTCATTTATAAGCTTATATCCAGTGATTCTTACTCAGACCTATCTGGGAAATCCTACACTTATTAGAGGAGAAAGAACTGCAAAGCTCTGGAAGCACTTATCCGCGAAGGAAAGGTGAGAGGCTCTGTATGATCACATAATGCAAGAAGACTCCGTTTATAGACCTAAGAAACTGAGTTATATAGGGGACAAAATCAAATCAGGATACTCATAATCTTTGGCTATCCAACATTCTCCCAAGGCATTTTTTTCCAATCTGTTGGGTTGCGTTGGCTGCATGGCTCATTGATGGAATAACTTCTTACCTTGAGCTTTCCACCATGCTAGGTGCATCGAGGATTACAAGCTTGGTGTAGATGGACGCTCTTGCCAGCTCATCACAGAGACCTGTCCAGAGGGAGGTGACTGTGGGGAAAGCAGAGAGCTCCCCATGAACCAGACCCTCTTTGGGGAGATGTTCTTTGGTTACAACAACCATTCCAAGGAAGTGGCTGCTGGACAGGTGCTGAAAGGAACATTCAGGTGAACCCCACGTCCATAGCACTGGTTATTCAGGGCTGTTGATGGATCTCTTCTCTGATGGGTCTTAAAGTCAGCATAAAGTCTCGTATCTTGGATCCAGGTAACTGTGACCCTAAAAGGATAGGTTATTTTCTCTCCCCTGGTCTTTACTAGGTTCACACTTCTCCTTCCAGAACCCAAGAACCCTGAACAGTAAAGTGTTAAAATAAATTTTTACCTTGCCCAGGCAGAGACTACAAGATTTTCCATGGGAGCCACCACAAAATGCTCAGGTTCTATCATCCCTCTGAGTCTTGGCGAATGAGTCAATCTAGCATAGGTCCTCAATATGGTCCAAGAATCCCTGAGGGTCCCTGAGATCCTCTCAGGGGATATTCAAAGTCCTGCCTTTTCCAACTACAGAGAGGATGGGTTTCCTTCATATACTTCAATCCAAACAATATGTTGCAATAAGTTGAATGCAGAGGTGAGAATGCAGCTGTCTTCTATGAAATCAGACATTTAAAAAACTTGCAAAAAATGTAAAATAATGCCACTTGTCTCATCATTTTTCAAGACATGTTAATATTTAATGGATTTATTATTGTCATCTAAAAATATATCAATAAATATTTTTTCATTTTTTCTTTCAATTTCTAATATGGTAAATGTTGATAGATATAATCTACATAAACAAAAGCTACTTGGGGCCTTCAGTTATTTTTAAGAGTGTAAAGGGGGTCTTGAGAACAAAATGTTTCAAACCACTGACTTAGAATATTCCTAGGCAGTTCTCCATTTGACCCCTGTCCCTAATCTGTCTTAGGTTATTTGAATACATCATCCTCAGAATCCATGCATTTCAGGAGATGATGGTGATGTTGATGATGACGATGTTGAAAGTGTTATAATATGGACCAGCAGTTGATAGCAAGCTAGGTCTGGACTCTTACAGGCAAACTGATAGTAAACTTTCGAGCTATTTTTTGGAGTCAGTTGTGTTTTCTGTTACAGACAGTAGACTTTACTAAAATTTCCCCTTTTAGCCTGGGACCTCATTTGCCAATGGCAAGCAGTGAGGTGTCACAATGAATATTGTGGTGGCTTCATTTGCCCAGATCTTCTGGAGAGGGGATCAGGGAGTAGGGACTGGGGTGGGATGGGGGGAAGAATATTCTCGATCTTGTAAGTAGACCTTTTCAGCTGGTTTATTTCTCATCTCCCTCAGCCCTTTCCCTACTTCTCACACTCGTGTCTTGCTCCAGACATGTACCTTGAGTGGGGTCCAGGGTGAGGGGAAGTTTTTGGTCCACTGTGGGTTGAGACATAGATCGCTCACCAAAGAGTGGCGTTCACTTGAACACTCAGAGATGAACGTCGGCCTCTGTTTCCAGGCAAAACAACTTTGCTCGAGGTTTAGACCAGCAACTGCCAGATGGTCTTGTGGTGGCCACTGTCCCCCTGGAGAATCAGTGCCTGGAGGAAATCTCAGAACCAACCCCGGACCCAGACTTCTTGACTGGTGAGTGTGCCACACACCTTACTTAACTGGCAGAAACAAACAAGCAGCTCCCTGTGATGCTGTGAGCTCAAGACGCTTGACCTTGCTTCTTTTGGTTTCAAAGCCAGTGATTTTCTTGATATGTGATAAAAGCTCAGTCCTAAAACTGAACACTAGTAGGATTATTTGTCAGTGAAACGGCCAATATTATCACATAATTCTCTGCAAAATGGCCATAATAATACCTTTCCCTGCTAGTCTTATTGGGATGCTTTGAAAACAAATGAAATAATAGATATGTAAGAGTTCAGAGTTCTCAGTGGATTAGAGGAAGTGACTAGGTCACAGCAGAGGTAGAAAGAAGGTAGATTGCTTAGAGCCTAAATATCTATCATTGGTTCCCCGGCAAGTGCTTCTAGAGCAGTGTGAGAGAGTAGAGAATGCTAGAGCTTTGTTGTCAAATGACCCTGGGTTTGACTCCTGGCTCTGCTACTTTCTAGCTGTGTGACATTAGACAATACAGTCTCTTGGGGTCTCATGGCCCCCATCGTAAGATGGGGATCATAACACCTGTCACTTAATGTTGCTTTGAGCCCAATGGCACTCTTCTCCTCGGCTCACTGTGGAACGAAGGTATGGGCTGATTGGGAGAGGCAGGAATACTAGGGGTCATTTCTCTTTTCTGTGCCACTAAAGACCCCCAGTTAGCACCTCCTGGACCAAAGAAGGCATTTCAAAGTGTTCCAGGGACCCTTAAGAGGCAGCCAACCGGGAACTCAGCATCACTTACCAGGAGTCTCGACATGAGCTCTTTCCTTGTCAGCTTTGTTCATTTCTCCATTACTCCTCTCCCTTCTTCATTCTATGTCTTCCTTATTCTAGACCCTTCTCCCCTTTATTTTCCCCTTTCCTGAAGAATAGCTTGAACTGAGTGTAAACCTTTTTCAGATATCAAGTTATGTCCAAAAATTTCGTTTAGACGAGAATGGGATTAGAATTAGGTCTGTCTGAGTTAGTATAGCATAGTGATCACTAGCTTAGGCTCTGGATCCTGACAGCTAAGCTCAACTCTTCACTGGCTGTGTGATCTTGGACAAGTTACTTACCTTCTCCATGGCTCAGTTTTTTACCTGTAAAAGTGGATATTATAGTATTACCTTTCTTATAGGATTAGTATGAGGAATAAATATTCATAAAGTTCTAAAAACAGTTCCCGATACATACTGAGATGTATGTTTATTAAATAAATAAATATACCAAGGAAGAAAGAAAATATGAACATTCAAACTACCAAACTGTGCTTTCCTTATAGAAGAAGGAAAGGGGGCAAGGGAGAAAACAATTAGATATATTCTGGACCAGAAATAAATCTCATCGAAATAAGCTGCCTTCTAAAAGATCACACACACACATACACACACACACAAACCTGAAAAAATTAAAGTGCACCTCTGGGTGTGTCCTGAAAGCCTACGTCTCTAGTGTTTCGCAATCTAGCTTTCTTGTTTCCATGTCATTGGCTGAGAAACACTTGCTGGGTGTGTGTAAAATGCCTTGTAAAGGAGGTGTGAGATGGTGCACAGAAGCAGGACAGGCTCCACACTGCCAATAAACTACCTGGCTTCTGTTTAAAGAGTCAACAGGGCAACTCTCTCACACATTAGAACTTACATGGAAGTGAGATTTCAGTTGTCAGGCTGGGAGGACACAGAGTGGTCCTGGATGCTACCTGAGCTTTTTGGGGAGGATAGATCTGAGAAGCATCAGAAAAACATGTGCCTGAATCTCCATCTTTGGAAATAAGAAAAAGATCCAAACTTTGTTCAAATCCACAAGAGAAACTTTTTTCTTCCCTGTGCCCTTGGACCTCTCCTGATTTGGTATGGCAGAGGCAAAAGGAGTGGAAGGATGTCCTGGTGGGACCTTTCCTTTTTCATGGCCTTGAGACAGTGACATTCCTAAAAGTACAAAGAGAACTTTTCTTGACCTGCTAGTTTTCTACCCAGCCTTTCTTTTTAATGTATTTTGATTAAGAAGTGATACCAGTTAGTCCAAGAGCAGGTATTTCCTTTGATGTAAGAAGGAATCAGTCTTGTTTTTCAAAGCCCAGAATACCTAGAAGAATCAGTTAGAGATGGCTGACCACTTTTCTTCCATATTTATTTCCTAGTTCTGGTAACATTTTACTTATATCTTTCTTGAGAGTCATACAGAGAATGTCATATCATGCCGCACTATGTGCTATTATAGGTCACGGTCCCCATAAACCTACAAGCTTAAAAGGGTTTTGGGCGAAAGTGATCTTCAGGTTCTTCTATATCAGCATTTTCAAGCATGTTTTTTTCGTGAAAAACCAGCCCTCCACTCATAAATAGGTTCTATCTTCAAATAATTTGGAAGTAGCATCTACCTCTCAGCAGTCTGTAGCACCTGAGCATGGAACAGATTCCAAGAAGTCCTGCACTAAAGAAATACCTTTTACTTTACTTAGCCCAGCAATTCCCAAATCTATTTAACTAGAGAATCCTTTTACACATAACAGCTATTTCGAGCTTTCAGAATTATTGGCTTAAAGAATGTACTGGAAAATTTCTGATGTATGTGTTTTATCTTGCCGGTTACCTTCTTCCTTACCAAAACAGTTAAGAACTCTTATGCTTTACAAGCCTTTTTGGTGTTATAAGTTGTGTGGAAATAAATGAAGACCAACAAAATGAAAACAGGTGAAGGCTATTTACACACAGCAAGGGGGTCAGCCACCATCACTTGCATTTTGGCAGAGACTGAGAGGCAGGCAGAGAAGTAGGAAAGCTTCAGAGTGGAAAAAAGGGAGGGCTTCAGATACGCCCTGATAGGCATGTAAGCTGTTGGCAGGTGATCCAACTAACCAGGAGTGAGGTATTCTTAGGTAAATGTTTAGGAGACCTATTTGACTTTCTCTGGTGGAACCTAACTTGGAAGCAAGAACAAAAATTAGGGAAGCTGTCAGTTATTAATCAAGTCCTGGTGAGTTTGGCCTGATTGTTACAGGGGTTATTATTTGGCTTCCTGAACTAGAAGAGATGGTGGTCTGACTTCCTACAAGTCTGACTTAGAGACGGTAGATTAGCTTCTTGGGCTGGTTGCTGTAGATAATAGGGTGGTTTGCTGGGCTGGTTGCTGCCGATTGTGGGTCAGAGTTCTGTTTTTACATGCGGTCTGGCCATCATCCATTTGTATTTTCAGTCTCTCAGCTGAGAAAAAAAAAAGAGTCCAGAGGCAGATCAAGGAGGAAGAGGAGGCCGCTGGTCACATTCATGGGTCCGATGGGCGCCATAATCACGGAATCTTCAACATCCCCTTGACATTTCAGTAAAATAACAGGAGAAAACTAACTTTCTTTTCTTTCTTTCTTTTCTTTCTTTTCCTTCTTCCTTCCTTCCTTTCTTTCTTTCTTTCTTCCTCCCTCCTTCCCTCCCTCCCTTCCTCCCTCCCTTTCTTGTTTCCTTCCTCCCTTCTTCTTTCTCTATTCTTTCTTTCTTTCCTACCTTGCCTGCCTGCTTGCTTTCCTTCTTTCCTCCCTTCTTTCTTTCTTTCTTTGTTTCTTTTTCTATCACATAGGTCTATTCAGTCATTCTTTTTTCAAGCATATGTAGGAAAAAATAATGTTCTTTCTTGAGAAAACAGAGATATTTTGTTTGGAAAAAAAATCATTCACTAATGTATCACAAATAATAATAATATGAAATAAAAAACTGGGACTAACCACATTGCAAGGGCACACCGAGAAAGAATCCTATGACTCAGCAAGAAAATAGATATTTTTAAATATCCCTTTCCTTTTAACTAATGGAAATATTATCTGTAACTGGGCACAGAACAACATTTCCTGAGCATTAACAGTTATATAACTGTTTCCCTGACTATGGTGTAGCATAAAGGCACTCAGTAGAGTTGTTGTTTAGCAGTGAAGTAATGGAGTTCGGTTGTTTGGCTCATCCTGGGCGAATGTGGGACACTGTCATCCCTGCCCACCGCCAACACCCGTGCTTCTTTTATTTTCTCTTCCCTCTATTGACCTGAACTAAGGCCTGGGAATTTATAACAAAAACGTCAATTAACAAATGTCAAGTTCACACAATTAGAAGTGATGAGAGAGAGGTAGGGAGGAGGGTGACAACATTATGGAAACCATGTATGTATATGATGTTTTAGCTTTTCTTAATGTGCTTTTATACCCGTAACTTTATTTTGTCCTGACAACCTACCTGTAAAGTAGGCAGGATGGATACTATCATCCCTACTTCTCAGATACGAAAACTGAAAGAAAGGAGTTGCCTAGCCCCAAGTCACACAGCTGGTTGGAATCACAGAATTGAAAAGGAAACAAGGGGTCATCTGAGCTAAGCCGCTCACTTTACAGATGCAACAACTGAGAATCGCAAGGTCCTCTGGGCAGGTAGCCAGAGAGGAAGCTCAGGCCAGTTGATTGGCAGGCAGAAACTGCCCCCTTCGGCAGCATGGGTGCCTTAGAACTCCCGCCTCCTGATTTCCTGCCCTTTTCTTTTCCTGCTGGGAAACAAGTCCATTAAAGGGAATGTTTCCTGATACATTGAAAAATCTTTATCGGGCTTGCTATCTTTTTATTAATAGAGTTTCTGAAATAACAGCAAGCTGATGAGCTAGCATCACTAGAGAATGCATACTACGTAGAACAGTTTTACAAAACATGCACATTATAACTCGAATGAAACGTACCTTGGAGGTATGTGACTGGAGTCTTAAACTTGTAAAGTTAGAATTTCCTTTATATGCTTTTACGATTGACATAAAGGCGAAAAGCCAGCGTATGCAGAAGTATGACTGCCGTCACAAAGCTTAATGCCCTAAAAGAAGAGCATTTGAAAGGAAAATTGCTGAAAACCTTCTTTTAGTTTCAAGTAACTTATCTTTGATTACCTGAGATCAGATTTAAGCAATTGATTCAGTAAGCACCTCTTCTGACCTTTTTTCCTGTTTTTCTACCGATAATTATTCCCATATGATTCACACAGAAATGGAAATTTGGCAATCACTCAGCTAATTTGATCAGAGTTGACAAGCAGCTAATTAATCCTACCTACTCTTCATCCAGTTTAGGCACTAAATTAGTTGATTTAGCCTGAAGGAAGCATGGATCAAAATGGCAGGATAATTCACTACGTATGTATCATTGCCATTATATTTACACACACACGCTCACTGTCTATCTAAATTTATCATATATGTGGCCATTGTATTTGCATATGTACATATATACGCACACATGTGCATACATCAGGCATAGAAATGAAGCCCAAATTGGTGCTCTCAACTTAGCAAGGTGATTTTTTAATTTCCTGTGGCCTAATTATTTTGTTTCTGTAGCATTTTATATTTATAGTAATGGCTAGAATTCAAGTAGAATGCCACTCTTTCTACAAGGTGTTCAAGCAAGAACAGCTCATTACAACATCACTAAGAGGCTACAAGGATATATTTATTGAGAATGGCCTTGGATAAGTAACTTGGCTTCCCAGAGCCTCAGTTTTCCCATCTGTAAAATAGGGACCACAAATAAAGTGCCTATCATGTGTCTAGCACATAGATGACACTCAGTATAGGGCCCATTCCTGCCCCTTACTAACTTAGTCATGCTGACACTGTCCCTCCTGGTAAAGACGAAACAAGCATTATCAGCTTCAGAGTAATTAAAACTTAGATACGGAACACAAGTCAGTTAAATGGGACACAAAAATCGACGTTATCAGGAACTTGAGCTGAGTCAATTATTGCAGCTATTAAAGAGTGTAAAAACCTGTGTGTTACAGTAAGCCCAGAGTTTCATATGAGTTTATTAAGGGAGTATTGTAGTAGAATAGTTATGAACCCTGTTCTGGTCTCAGACACATCTGGAACTTTATCCTGGCTCTACCTGGTGGCCTAGGGCCCTTATGCAAACTCCTGTCTAAGCTTCAGTTTTCTCATTTATAAGATGCAGACAATAACACCTAGTTTACAAGGATCATATGACTATGTACAAAGTGCTTAGCCGAATGCCTGGTACAGAGTATAGGTTCAATAAGTGATAGCTGTTGTTACTATGATTCCAGAAATTTTCTCCATCCAAAAATGCTTTCTCATTTCCTCACAATTACACCCCCTAAGCCAGTAGACTTGGGACTTGAGAATCCACTACATGCACTGAGCCCGCATTTCCTCTGTCCCTAGGGATGGTGAACTTCAGTGAGGTGTCCGGATACCCCGTCCTGCAGCACTGGAAGGTCCGCTCTGTGATGTACCACATCAAACTCAAACAAGTGACCGTCTCTCAGGGTGAGCACAGCTGCAAGCCATCCCTCCCACCTGCTCCTGGGGTGTGGCATTCCTTCCCAAGGGCACAAGCCTTTTATCAATGTTGAAGATGCCACCCAAAATGTAGCCATTCCACGAGATCTATAACCTAGTCACTCGATTCACCCTTCAGGGCAAATGGCTGGAATCGGATCATTTTCTTAGCATAGATTAAATTGCAAGTCTTATCTTGGATAATAGAAGAGATGGAAAGGGCAAGGCGGGAACCACTGGAGATAAATTTAAACACTTACTTTATCATATTTCCTGGAGTCACCCAGTGTATAGAGAGGATATGCGAAAGCAAACTTTTTATAAATTGACAGAATAAAACTTTCCAAGTGCAAAGAGTGTACTTTACTATACCTTAGAGGTTCTATATGATGAAAGAAATAAGGGAAAGAGAGCAAGAAAGAGGAAGGGGAGTGGAAAAATAGAAAATAGCTATGGTTCCTAAAAGCAAGTAAGCAAGATAGATGGATAGATAGATAGATGAATGTAGATTTATCTACATCTACATCTATGTTTTATATATATAAAGATATGTATATATATCTTTATATCTAATAAGTTAAGGAGTAGTGAATTCTGAACTTAGGATAAATTGTTCCAAAACAGAAAAATGAGGCACCTTGTATAAGTATTCTTCAAATCTTAGTGATAGAGAGTTGTGAAGACAAGTGAGACATATACTAGAGAAAGAAGAGGCCTTAAGGATATAGAACATCTCCAAAGTACACAAAGGGACTCAGAACTTTTTATTTTCTATCACGAAAGAGTTCTTGGCAAGAAGGGATTGGGATGTGGCTATTACTGAAGTGAGCTCTGCTGGTGCAGAAAACACTTGGAACGAGCAAAGTTACTCGTCATCCTAGAAAAATACGGCAGTATTTTTCACATACTCAGTTTGCACGCAGCACAGGTGCTATGCATATCAGGGGTTAACAATCACATATCTCTGTTGCCACGTGCTTTTAAAAGCCACACATGGCATCATGGACGATGTGGACTTCTGCACTTGGGGTCTCAAGCCTGGGCCGGGCTCTGCCTTGTCCTGATAGGACACAGGTGTGTCAAAAAGAAGGCTGTACAAAGTTGGTCAGGTAGGGAAGGTATTGGATTTGGAAAATTTGCCATAGGTTATCTTTCTGACAAATATGAATCTCTTAAACAGGGAAGGCAAATCCAAGGAGATTTGTCTGGGGAGGAGGCAAACAGATTCCTTCCTCCATTTGCCATTTCAAAGTCTTTATACTTTTGATTTTCTTAAATAAATGTAAGCAGTGTTTTAGTGGCTTTCCTTATCTTTCTTCTTCCATTATCTTCCCATACCCATTTCTCTGCATGAAGGCAGCATCCTGAAAACTTTTTTGGTCACTACCCACAGTTACAGCACATTTTACACCGTGACCTTGTGCACAGGCATGTCTCCACATACACACCACAGAAGGTTCGTGAAGCCATACTTCATCTTCCCAAGTGAAATGTTCTCTGCTGGTATTTGCGTTTCTATTTTAGACTGTGCTATTCTTTTTCATTTTTTAAATGCTATTATTTGAGCTCACTAAATTGATTTAATGTCATGACTTGTGATTTGAAACAAAAAACTTTGACTTAAGCAGGGAGGTAGTGGAGATTTGATAATGTTATACTTAACTTGCACAAAGTTAACAACATAACTAACTGGGTGGAAGAAATATTCTTTTAGGAACTGAAATGTCTGATTTAGCTACCTGGAAGTACCTGGTAGCTCCAGCCAGCTCTCCAGTGTCACTTTGGGCCACATGGCACTTGCACATAGAGGCTGGATGGCCTGGGAATCCAGATACCCATATTGTAAGTCCTCACTCTTTTTCTTGGGTGACCTTTCTCCATAGCCCTCAGCAATGCTCTCCACTCCCTAGACGGGGCTACATCTCGTGGGGATTTTGTAGCCTTGTTGGACCAGTTTGGCAACCATTACATCCAGGAAGCTATCTACGGCTTTGAGGAATCCTGCTCTATCTGGTACCCAAACAAGCAGGTCCAGCGGCGACTCTGGCTGGAATACGAAGACATCAGCAAAGGTGAGTGACATGCTCGTCAGCAAGTTCTACTCCCTGTGCAAGTCCTGGCTGCCTAGGTACATCCATAGGACCAAAAATAGGGAGTCTGTAGGTGAAGGACTAATTCAGATTTGCCTCGATGTTCTTGCCCACCCTTTAAATTGCCAAGGTTTGGTTGCTAAAACCAGATGTCAAAATGGGAGTATTTGGGGAAACTTTATATGCAGGAGGGGGTCCAAACTGTATGACCACTGAGTGGGTTATCATAGAGGGAGTCTTCTAAAGGGCTTACCAGCCACCATGCATCCTGTTACCATAGCACGGGCAAAATACTAGACTGTTCTTATGGAGTGGGGGAGAAAAGGAGAGCGTTTCAGTCTCCCCCCACCACTCCCTGCCTCCGGCAATCCCATCCTACACTGGCTGGCAACCCCTTCCGGTAATTGCATAGTAAACCCCTTCTCACTCCATCCTGCCCTGTGTTCAGGGGCAATTTTCCTACTGCTCTGTGCTCTGAGGAAATCTCCATTGCCCCAGGTGTTTGTGTAGCTCTGGATAACAGCCTCCCAAATAAATCTTGGTCCACTGTTTGATGGCAAGTTAGTATTCAGTCCAAGTAAGTATAAGAAATTGGATTTTCTGGGACCCTTTGAATCACCTTCTGATGTAGGAGGAGTACTGGCTGGTAAATTTGTGTTCTGGTCAACCAAGACTGGTTTAGAATTGCCATTCATGGAATTTCTTCTTCTTATCTTATCCTCATGGCATTCTGATGAGCTCAAATTATGGATGTGTGAGTTGCTAAAGGGCAAGTGATGAAATTAGCACAGTGAAAACTCAAGAAGTAGGTCATCCTAAGATTTAATGATCAAGGGTCCCTCTGAGACTAGGGACCCCCTGCTGTCATCAGTGCTACAGTGGGAGAAAATATGCTCCCGTGGCTGAGATGCCCTTGGTTCTCTGAGCTCCATACAGATTTCTATTTTGTCTTGAGGCATGAGAGCCCCTCTTCTGACTGGGAGCTTTCTTCCAAAAGAAGCAAGAGGCTTGTACCTGGACTGCAGGCTTCCCCCCAGGTCCTGATTCCTCTAAGCTCAAAGAGACAACCGCAGGCTTCTTGTATCCCTTAAAACTTCAGCATCTTAAAATTGTTCTGATTCCAGTTTGCCAAGAAGGAGTATAATGTAAGCACATTTCGATAAGACCAGTTCCAGCTGGCAAAACTGTTATGTTTCCATGCCAGAGCCTAGCGATTGAACCAAAGGACTAAAGCCTCCTCTATTTCTGTTTGCCAGTGGTTCAAGGATTGCCAGGCTCTAGGACTGCTGGGAGATGCGAGCCTGACCTTCCTCAGAACTCCTGGTTCTACCTCTTGCGTCTATCCTGAGCATTGTAGTATCCTTAAGGTTAAATGCGAAGCCCAGGAGGGAACTTTGTCCATGGCCTTGGCACTATGCCCTATCCCTCTCCATTCTTACACACAGGAACTAATTTTGTCACAGTCCAGCTGTTGGCTTTAGTTCTCATAAATATGATGTATATCACCCCTTGCTTGTTATTGATATTAAAAGATATTCAAATATTTTAGTATGTTTATTTTGATCTCTTGCGATTGTCCACGTATACCTGCCCCCCAGCTGACTCCTGAATCTTACCTCTGTGTCATAGAGTTTATCTCTCTTATTGTTGGATGTGATTCTTACACTTAAATATTTTTCTTCTCCCTATGCACTAATTTCTTTTTATTCCAAAAGCACGAAGCATGCTACTGATTAAGGATTATAAGTGCATAAGACAAAGGAAGATTTTCTTCTGCTTTTCTGCACTCTGGAGAGGATTGCTCCAGAATGGAATTTATACACTAGTGGTGACAAGTGTTCTGAGAGGGCTATACCTACCATGGCATAAAAGTGACACCTTTTTAGACTCGAGTCCTTTAATTATATGTTCTTGCCTATTCTAACTTTAAAAACTTTCCAGTGAAAAGGGGTTTTGTGTTCTTTGCTTTTGTACCTATGATTAGATACCTAAAATTGCTTATGGATTGAATAGGAAAGAGGTTTATCAGGGGTGAAATGAAATGGAAAGATCACAGGACTGAAAGGCTGGGACTCTAGAATCTGCCAGGTGACTTTTGTTTAGTCAATCAACTATAGGCATCTCCCCTGTAAAGGCTTCTGTAGTTTCTTCCAGCTCTGACAGTTTATGGATCCTAGAAGTCCCCTTTATGTGAGAGGCTTTCTCAGGTGACACATTTGAGTAAAAGACTTTCCTCTTCTTTCTACAAATCACTACACAACTTCTTGAGGGTAGGTTCTATGCCTTATTCAACTTTGAAATCCCAGGGTCCAGCACAGAGCCGGGCACATGACAGTCCCTCAGCAAGTGTTTGTTATTGTTGAGGTTGTTGTTAGTGATGGCAATTGGGGTTGTCTCGGTGGGAACGGTGGTTAAAAGCTCTTCTGACGTGGTGACTTCCCACGTGGGTTTTATCATAGACACATAACGCTTTAGGTACGCCTGACTGATAAGAACTCAGAGATGGGTATTTTTGAACAGATCTTCAGAAGGCAGCCTTTTATTCAACAGCCACTTATTCATCATACAACCACTATATGGTTTGGTCAGACCATTATGTAGGAGCACCTGTCTTAAGATAAGTCTGACTGGAGCCCATGAATAACATATTTCCATTTCTCACGGTCTAAGATTAGCCTCTCTTCTTTTTCTTTTACAGAGCAAATAAAGACTATCTGAATTGAAATTTCCAACCTCACTCTCTCTGCTTCTAAACTGACTTCCATCTTTTCTCATCATCCTTTGCCCTTGTGCCTCAGGAAATGCAGTGAGTTCCTCCTCTTCAGGCGAATCTCTCCACCTGTACACTTGCTTCCTTCCCTCTCTGCTTCCTCTTAGTCCTCACTCATTCATTAGCCTCCTCTTTTTTCATCTCTGCAACCTCTTCAGCCACAATTATCCCTTCGCCAACCTTCTGTTTTCCAAAAAATAATATTTTTATAAATATGCAACTCTTTTACCACTGTTTCCTTTCAACATGTCACCATCAAATTTCTTGAGTACGTAGTTTATACATCTTTTCTCTACTTCCTCAACTTCTTTTCACTCTTCCAATAATTGCTTTCAGCCCCGTCACCCTTACAGAAATTGCTCTGGAGAAGGAAAAAAAAGACTTTATAAGCAGAGGTTCATTTTTCTATTCTGTGACCATTTCATCTATCTCAGCTAAAGAATTTGTCCCTTTTGGCCAGGTCTGCCTTCTTGCAAATCCTCTCCCTTTGTGTCTCTGATGCTATTCTGTCCAGATTCTCTTCATAAGTCTTTGGCCTTTATTTCTCATTCTTTTTTGCCCTCACTCCTCTAAAGAAATCGCTTACATTTTGGTCATTTTCTAGGATTTCACCCTTAATGTTCATCTCTTCTTCACTGTTGCTGGGTGATTCTCTTTTGTATCTACCTCAACCCACATCTCAGATCCTTCCCTTCTCCCTGAAATTCAAAAGCTCATTTGTCTGTGAGTGTTTACCATTTCTACCTGGATATTCTATAGGCATCTCAATGATCAGCATCTCTTTTCTCTGTATCTGCTAGTAGATTCATGAACCACATTGATGGGTCATAATATAAAGTGAGGGGTCTTTTATATTCTCCTCCACCCTCCACATTCAACCATTTACAAGTTCTGTTCTTTTTACCCCCTAAATATTTCTTCAGCAGGTGTCTTCTCGTCCATTTCTCAAAATTGTATGAGTTTACGGTATCAGCTCTCGTAAGAAATATTGAAATAGCATCCTCAGGTGCCTTCTTCAGTTTCCTGCCACTCTCGTCCATTCTGCATTTCACTATCTGTTATCTTTTTTAAATGCCCCTTTATGACATGACTCTTGAGCTTGGAGCCCGTCACTTATGCCTTACTGCCTTCTCAGCATGAACATGGCTTCACTCCCTGTATTAGTTTCCCATGGCTGCTGTAACAAATGACTACAAACTTGGTGGCTTAAAACAACATAAATTTATTTCCTGAAAGTTCTGGGGCCAGAGATCCAAAATCAGTTTCACTGGTCTAAGCTCAAGGTACTAGTGGGGCTGGAGGATCCTTCTAGAGGCTCTAGGAGAGAACCCCTTTTTTGCCCTTTCCAGCTCACAGTGGCCGCCTGTATTCCTTGGCTTGTGGCCCCTTTCTCCATCTTCAAAGTGCATCACTCCAATGTCTGAGTCACATGGTCTTCTCTCTGACTCTTTCTGCCTCCTCACGTAAGGACCCTTTTGATTACATTGAGTCCACCCAGATAACGCAGGATAATCTCCCCATCTCAAGAGTCTTAATTTAAGCATATCTGCACAATCTCTTTTGCCAGGCACAGGTAACATTCATAGGTTCTAGAAATTAGGACCTGGGCATCTTTGGGAGCAGATATTCAGCCTACCACACCCTCTACCCTCTCTGGCTGCTGCATCACTGACCATTCCCTACCCCGAGCATTCCTCCACTCTGATGACACAAGACTGCTTGCTATCAGTCCAAAACCCTTGCATTTGATTCCAGACAGTTTAAGGCCTCAGAGTCTCCCTTCCTGCCCCAGTCTGAGGCCAGAGGTATGTGCTCTAAAGTCTCCACAATTACTCGTCCCACTCAGAAATTTTCTCTTGGGCCTTCTCTTGCCCACCCGGCCCCCTGACCCTACTCCATTCCCTGGTGTCTGTTCCTTTGCCTCATTTCTGGATGGATCTTGTTCTCTTCTTAGGCCCTTAGGATCAGCAGATCAGTCTTCCTGGCTATGATTTCTGTTTCTTGCTTGTGTCTTTTAATTGCCCCTTCAGCTCTATAAATTGCCATCTGCAATTAAATGATACCTTGACCAAGTGTCAGGCCCCAACTCTGGGTCCAGGGTCAAGGTTCCCACTGGTTCAGAAGAGGAGATTGAGCCTTTCCACACTTCTGAGCCTACCTAACCTTGTCCTCTATCTACCCCGATTCTACCATCACCTTTCTACTCTTCAAG